TACCTTCATTTAATGTTATTTATAACTCATCTAAAACAGCTTGACTCAAAATAAAATGAAGACTAAAGGGCTGCTTTATTTGCATGCTACAGCTCTCTCTTCATTCAGTTGTCTCCCCAGCGCCGCCATCTACATCCCTGAACTGCTGCCTAGACTCGCTCACTGTTTTGCCAGGACATTGAATCTGAATATTGGCCCATCATTTCCTCATGATATTTATTAAGGAATACTGACCAGCAAAGGGAAACTATAAATAGATTTGAAATATGAGAGAAACTCTGTAAGCAACAAGATGTAGCTGTTTCTTCCAGCAAGACAGAAACTGTTTGTGTGCCTTCAGACAAGACTGCTACCCTGCAGATTGGTCTAGTCTCCAGAGTGACCTAGATCAAATGGATCTATGCCAAGCACACTCTTGTCAGAAACAGCAATGAGACTTACCTGTGTGTCACTTCATTTCAGGATGAGTATATGTAAAATTGTCTATGCCCATTTGTGAAATTAGTGCTGCTAAAATTCCCAAGTGGCCTTCTATTTTTAGTGATGTCTTAGTTAATTGTCTTGTTGCTGAAACAAAATAACTGATACCCACAAATTAAAAGAAGAAAGGTTTATTTAGCTCACAGTTCATAGAAGTTTCAATTCATAGTCAATGGGCTCCAAAGCAGGTGGCACAGGAGAGGAGCATCACAGTGCAGAAATAGTTCATGGCATGACAGGCAGAAAGTAGCAGGCAGCAAGGCAGCAAGCAGTAACTGCAGTAGCACAAGTGGTCTCCCTTCCTCTCTCCCTTTATATTCTTATCCGGGTTATAAGTCTTTTGATTAGGCCATCCACCAGCAGGGACTCGCATTATCCATACCCAAAACTATGCTAATTCTAGTCAGTAAACTAATTTAGTGCTATACACATGTAATCCCAGTACCTATCCCTAAATCCAGCCAGCTCAGAAAAGCCCAACCTATGAGCACACGAGGGTTGTGGGAACATCTAGATATAAGACATAACAAGTGATAACCTTTGGTTAAAGAAAGTAGTTTTATTAGAAAGACATTCATTTCCAATAGTACATGATACGACTATTTCTACTATTAGTGCTAAATATGAGTCCTATTAACATTTTTATCCTTCCTGAATTTTCTGTGGTACAGAAAGTTTTCTGAGCCCTTTTCTAGTTGATTACTTTATCTAAAATAATTCCTTGCATAAAATTGTTATTTTGTAAATAAGTGTTGATTAATGTATATTCAATGTGAATCATTAAGCCTCTTTTTCATCTCTAAATTTTATGATTTTTTTAATCAAGAAAGACAAAATTTTGCCCAGCATGATGGTGCACACCTGTAATTTCAGCACTCTGGAGACAAAGGCAGGAGAATCTCTGTGAGTTTGAGGCCAACCTGGGCTGCTGGGCTACAGAGTGAGTTCAAGGCCTGCCTGAACAACATAGCAAGACCTTTCCTTAAACCAAAAGAAAGAAAGAAAGAAAGAAAGAAAGAAAGAAAGAAAGAAAGAAAGAAAGAAAGAAAGAAAGAAAGGCATCCAGCCAGCAAGGATGGATGGAAGGAAGGAAGGAAGGAAGGAAAGAAGGAAGGAAGGAAGGAAAGAAGAAAGGAAGGAAGGAAGGAAAATGAAAAGGAAAGGAAAGGAAAGAAGAAGGGGGGAAAGAAGAAAATTTCAAGGTTGATATGGAGATATTTCTTTTGGAAGATAGTTTTCTTCCACTCTGAATTTTTGGTGTGTGTGTGTGTGTTCTTTCTCTTAGTGTTAGTGCTGTGGGGCAGCAGGATTGCACTAAGAGTCCAAATTAAGTTTTTTTAAAAATCTATTTTGAGACAACTCAATCTCAGCAAAACCTATGTTTTACTCTCCAGTTTTAGGTGATTAATGCATATTACTTGGATACATTTAGTTTCTTTTTAGTTGAAAAAATCCTGAATATACAGCACATATAGTTTAAGTACTTTTCTGTGTTAAATTTAAACTGGTATTGCCAGGCAACACAGAAGGAAATTGTGGGCTGATCGGCTGCTTAACCAGGCAAGTGTTTTATCACTGCTGGGCTGAAGAATGAAAGCCAGATTGAAATGAGTAGGAGTGGAATAAAGTTTCCACAAGTTACTTAGTTCAGGACCCAAAGTCCTGCCATTAAACCCTGATTTTGCTTCCTTCCCACACAAATGTTTCTGTCCTCCCTTCCTTTGCTCTTGTTTGTGGGGGATCAGATTGCTTCCCATGTAAACATACCCACCTGTTGGTCCCTGTCAAAGTTCTGGTCCATCCTGTCATATGAGTACAAGCTCACACCTGTTCTCCTCATTTGTCTCTAAGCAAGGACACTCTTCCATCTTTGTTTCCGTAGATTTTTCTTCTAAAGAGGAAGGAGATTCACATCTTTTAATCGAGGCCTTGGTGTGCTATGTAGAGGATAGAATAGTTATAGATAGCAGCAGATAGAGAGGGAAGAGAGATAGGAAGTCTGGTACACAGTGTCGTGTCATCCCATTAGCCTGTACTTGTGTGTGTGTGTATAGTCAGCGACCAGAAATCACCACAGTTTGGGCTGGTTTGTGCAAAGGAAGGCTGGCAGTGTTTATGAAGCCAGTATGTTACAGGCTGCTGCCTGGTCCCAGGACACTTGAGTGTGGCGCATTTGTGTGTTATATGTGTGCTGTTAACCTACATTGCTATTTGGCCTTTTCCCTCTCAATAACAAAGAAACCTATGATTTTGAAATGTAACATTTCAAACAAATTAGGAAACAGTGCTAGAATATTAATCATTATATAAAATGGCAGAATAAAAGATTACAATGCTAAAAAGTGCTGTATATTTCTAATGGATTGTGGCCTAAAATCCATTTATTTTTCTGACTCCATTTTAGCAATGGCATATTGAGGTAAAATTTATAAAGATTATGATATTCCCTTAGTGAGTTAGTATATTGTCTTTATTAAAGGTAGATGTGTCTTTTTAGACGTAAAGACTTCATTCTGAAAAATAGGACACAAATGATTACAAATTTAATTTCATGCCAACATGCTTGAATAGATGGAATACAATCTGTGCTTCAGGGAGAACACTGAATATCGTATGTCTTACAGATGAAGTTATCACAGTTTTTGCCTGTTTTGCACTTTATCACTCCAGGGATACAATTATAAAGAAACTGCCTGGTGGCTTTTATGCTTTATTTTGGCACTCAGATCACAAAAATCTCTATGGTTCATTTTGAAATTTTGAGGAGAATAATACACATCTGAGTTAAAGTTTAGATTTAATTATCTTTTGTAAATTCCTTTGGAAGTAAAAGTCAAAAAGTACCCATTGCTTTAAATTTCAGACATAGAATAGCATAGAAATTTTTTAAAATTTGGAGATTTTATCCTAAGTAGATTGTATCCAGAACAGGAAAATCAGAAGTGCTTTTGTATAAAATTTTACATTCTCTTTATTATCATGAAAGTTAGATAATGCCAAGTCCCCATCCCTGTTCCTTACTTATAAACACAGTGATTTAGCAGAGATTTTTAAAACTTCCTGAAAGGCAATGTGTGTTTTAACTCTAAAAGATATTTGGATGTCATTTTAGCATTTCTCTTTTAATAATAAAGGTATCTTTAGAGAGGAGGTTTTAAATATACATGTAAATGTGTTTGTCAGCCCTTCAGGTGGGAATACTGTTACATTCTGCAGAAAAACTGAGGAATAAAGTATTGATAATGTTAAATTCTCTAGAAGTAGACACTACCTGAAGTTTTTCACTTGAGTAGTATTAATAATTCATTTATATTGAAAGCATTTAGGTGACATTGTTCTCAGTATCAACCTTGTATGCAACAATGGTTTTAATAAATCTAACTATAATTTTAGTAACACGCTTAGCTAGCCTCTAGATCTCCCCCTGAGACTTAATACAGTTGCAGCAATGAAGCCATTGTCTGTATCTGAAGTGTTTAGGACCATGACTGATTTATTGTGAGACTTTGAAGAGCCAAGAATTTCTGCTAAAATTCCAGCATCTACCCATTTAACACTCTGTTTAACGGTTCATACATAGTGGTTTCTGTTCATTTGGTATGTAGTCTAGAAATAGTTTAGTAAGCTCGGGTAGCCAGGAAATGTGTTTTGGGGACTTCAGAGTACATCCCTACTATATGGGGGGGGGGCTGTCTGAAATGCCAATTCCTGGCCACCATTTTTAGAGATCTGACTCCATGGGCCTAAATTATGTATTTTAACTAGATGACCCAGGGGATTTTGAGGCAGATGGTCTGGTGACAAGTCTTTAGAAACACTGATGCACATTTTGGTGTTGTTTTCAGTTTCTGTCAACCTGCATTTCATTGAACGCTGTGGCTGAAAAAGTAAAATAAAATGAGATACTTATTAAAAAAAAAAAGAAACTGATGTATGTACTACAGAATGTGTATACACACATAGAACCTGCTATTTTATAGAGGTGCTACTTGTATAGCTACACAAGCCTCACATTCCAAAGACTTGGGCTTGGCTTAATACTCTTCATCTATTGTCTTAAAATTATTAGTAACTTTTTTCTTTTTTTTCTTTTTTTTAATTTTGTTTTGTTTTGTTTGGTACCTAGGATCAAACTGACGACCTCACGCTTGCCAGGCCCCAGGTGCTTGTGCTGCTGAGCTAAATCCCCAGCCCTATGAGTAATTTTTGACTGAGGAGTCTTGTATTTTCATTCTTCCTGGGCCCTGAAAATTATGTAGCCAGTTCTCTACATAAGATTTTATCATATGTTTTGAAATTCCATTCTTTGACAAACATGAGTTCAATGATTTCTTACCTATTAGTATCAGGCTGTAAACTCCAAGGCCAGTTTTGAGCTTTAGAGATGAATGAGTATCATTCATTTTAAAATCAGAATAGGAAATCTCCAGAGTATATTTTTTCAGGGAACTTAAATTTTAATTCCTAGTCATGTACACCTGTGCTTATATTTTTCTAATAATTATTTTGTTTTTTCCCAGGATGGTACAAAACAGAAAAGGGAACGAAAGAAGACAGTGTCCTTCAGCAGCATGCCTACGGAGAAGAAGATCAGCAGCGCTAGTGATTGCATCAACTCAATGGTGGAGGGTTCAGAACTCAAAAAGGTCCGCTCCAACTCTAGAATATACCATAGGTATTTTTTACTAGATGCTGACATGCAAAGCCTGAGGTGGGAGCCATCTAAGAAGGATTCTGAGAAAGCCAAGATTGATATTAAATCCATCAAGGAAGTGAGAACAGGAAAGAATACAGACATATTTCGTAGCAATGGCATTTCAGACCAGATATCTGAAGATTGTGCGTTTTCAGTAATATACGGAGAGAATTATGAGTCACTTGATTTGGTTGCCAACTCTGCAGATATTGCGAACATCTGGGTTACAGGACTTCGGTACCTAATTTCTTATGGGAAACATACACTCGATATGTTAGAAAGCAGCCAAGACAACATGAGGACTTCTTGGGTTTCACAAATGTTTAGTGAAATTGATGTAGATAGCATTGGACATATAACTCTGTGTAATGCTGTGCAGTGTATCAGAAACCTCAATCCTGGCTTAAAAACAAACAAAATTGAGCTTAAGTTCAAAGAATTGCATAAATCCAAGGACAAAGATGGTACAGAAGTCACAAAGGAAGAATTTATTGAGGTTTTCCATGAGCTTTGTACTAGACCTGAAATTTATTTCCTTTTAGTTCAGTTTTCAAGCAATAAAGAATTCCTTGATACTAAGGATCTTATGATGTTTCTTGAGGCAGAACAGGGTGTGGCACATATAAATGAGGAAATAAGCCTTGAAATTATTCACAAATACGAGCCATCCAAAGAGGGCCGGGAAAAGGGCTGGCTCTCCATAGATGGGTTCACTAATTACCTTATGTCACCTGACTGTTACATATTTGATCCAGAACATAAGAAGGTCTGTCAGGATATGAAACAACCTCTGTCTCATTACTTTATAAACTCTTCTCATAATACGTACTTAATAGAGGATCAGTTCCGGGGTCCCTCTGATATCACAGGATATATCCGAGCTCTTAAAATGGGTTGCCGGAGTGTTGAATTAGATGTATGGGATGGGCCAGATAATGAACCGGTAATTTACACAGGCCACACCATGACCTCTCAGATAGTCTTCCGCAGTGTCATTGATATTATTAATAAGTATGCATTCTTTGCTTCAGAGTATCCTCTTATCTTATGTTTAGAAAATCATTGTTCTATCAAACAACAAAAGGTAATGGTTCAACACATGAAGAAAATTTTAGGAGAGAAGCTCTATACAACATCACCCAATGTTGAGGAATCTTATCTACCATCCCCAGATGTCCTGAAAGGGAAAATACTAATTAAAGCAAAGAAGCTATCTTCAAATTGCTCTGGAGTAGAAGGAGATGTTACTGATGAAGATGAAGGAGCAGAAATGTCTCAGAGGATGGGAAAAGATAATGTGGAGCAACCCAACAGTGTGCCTGTGAAACGATTTCAGCTTTGCAAAGAACTGTCTGAACTAGTCAGCATCTGTAAGTCGGTTCAGTTCAAAGAATTTCAGGTGTCATTTCAGGTCCAGAAGTACTGGGAAGTCTGCTCATTTAATGAAGTGCTTGCCAGCAAATATGCCAATGAAAATCCAGGAGACTTTGTAAATTACAACAAGCGTTTTCTTGCTCGGGTCTTTCCTAGTCCAATGAGAATTGACTCTAGTAACATGAACCCTCAAGATTTTTGGAAATGTGGTTGTCAAATTGTGGCCATGAACTTCCAGACACCAGGACTGATGATGGATCTAAATATTGGCTGGTTTAGGCAGAATGGAAACTGTGGCTATGTCCTTCGGCCAGCCATCATGAGGGAAGAAGTCTCCTTCTTCAGTGCCAATACAAAAGACTCTGTCCCAGGAGTTTCACCTCAGCTTCTTCACATTAAAATCATCAGTGGGCAGAACTTCCCCAAGCCCAAAGGCTCAGGTGCCAAAGGTGATGTGGTGGATCCTTATGTCTATGTGGAAATCCATGGAATCCCTGCTGACTGTGCAGAACAAAGGACAAAAACAGTGCACCAGAATGGAGATGCTCCCATTTTTGATGAAAGCTTTGAATTTCAAATCAACCTGCCTGAACTGGCCATGGTGCGCTTTGTAGTGCTAGACGATGACTACATTGGGGATGAATTTATTGGTCAGTACACAATTCCCTTTGAGTGTTTACAAACAGGCTACCGCCATGTCCCTCTGCAATCTTTGACTGGAGAGGTTCTCACACATGCTTCTTTGTTTGTCCATGTGGCTATAACTAACCGAAGAGGAGGAGGGAAACCTCATAAAAGGGGCCTTTCTGTGAGAAAAGGGAAGAAATCCAGGGAATATGCATCTCTGAGAACACTGTGGATTAAAACTGTGGATGAAGTGTTTAAGAATGCCCAGCCACTGATACGGGATGCCACAGATCTGAGAGACAACATGCAGGTACTTGTTTGTATTTAAATATCACTCAACAGTTTCTCTCTACTTAGTCCCTGTCAATAGTTTATGAATATGTTGGAGGTTTTTTTTTTTTTTTTTAAAAAAAACAACGGTATACTTGTGGGTAATTAGTAACTTTCAATTGATTATTGAATGTTTACCAGTGGTCATATTTCTTATTTAAATTTCTAAAACTGCAGTTGTTGAAAATTTTGATTGCATGTTAGAATAAACTAGTCTTGTCACTGCCTTACATATTGCTCATTAGAGTTCCTGTTAAATGGTGACTTAAAATTCACCATTTTTCCTGGTAATGTACAAGGGAATCTCTGATATTACAAATATTCCTTAACTTGAACATAAATTGATGACTTACCATAACAGAGGGGTTATCCACTAAAGTAAAAGGCACATTTTCCAGACCTTGCTTACATAGCTATAGTGCTGGGAAGAAACTAGGTCCTCAAATGACCCAATGTGTTTGTACATTGATCCTTCTCTTGAGAGGCTAGCTCATTTTTACAGTAAAAGACATGAGGTGCCTGTTTATTAGTGTTTAAAATAATAGTTATCTCTGAAATGTATAGTAGCTGAAAATAATCAGTTAGAAATTGAGTGTTTATTTAAAAACCATCTGTGTACCTAGCTGTGTGTTAGGGCTCATGAGTAGTATAGAGCTGGACAGCAGAGGCCTGCCCCCCAAGGTAACTTACCCCATCTCTGTATGTGAGAATGGGCTAATGACACCAGCAGTAAAATCTGACCCAGAAAAACGTACTTTCAACACATTTTTCTTATGTACTGATTATGTGGATATCTCACGAATAAAAAGACCTTCCCATAGTAGGGACATTATTTTCTGTCTTTCAAGGTAAAAACTAAACTGAAATATAAGAGACTTCCCCATTCTGTGGGTACAAATGGTTTGGTAACCCTTCATTCCAAACAGGCTGCATTGTTGCTTCTTGGCTGTTGATGTAAATGTGACTGAATTTCCCTTGGGGACCTGCCAGAGGTCGAGCATCATCATTTCTAGAGCCCTTATGTGCCTGGAACCCAAGAGAACAGTGGGTGGTGATGCTCAGTGAATGCCTGCTGTGCACAGGCAGTCTGGCCATGAGTGTGCAGCAGTGACCAAACAGATGGACCATGTGCCCTCAAGGGGTTTGTACAGTAGTTGGAGGTGGTCCATGGGAAGACAGAAAAAGCAGTACAAGGAGGAATAAACAAGTAGGATAACTGCAGATTCAGGTAAATGCTGTGAATGAAGAAAATAAAACAGAGAAATGTGACAGTGATTGAGAGACTCCACTTTAGATGTTTCAATAATTTATTTCTATATGTAACCAATTATTTCAATACAGAATATTCATGAAATCTAATGCTCAATTTCCTCATCCGTAATAAAGTTGTTGAGAGGGTTAAATAAGCTAATGTGTAATAAATATGCGGAGTACCACTTAGCACTTGGTAAGTACTTGCCAGCTCAAGGAATTTTGTACTCCTGAGTATTTTCTTTAATTTTAATGACATACTTCTGGTAATTAGAATAAAGAGAGAAAAAGTGAACCATTGAGATCAGTGGAGATGCTAACAGAGGAAGACCAGTGGGAACCGAGGCTCTGTGGGCAGACTCACCCATGGACAGCAGAAGTCCTTTAGGTTTGGAACCAGTGGCATAAACAGATGACAGAGACTCAGGTGTCTTCCTTACAAAAATCTGTTTCCTTTTTTGGATGACTGGCATATTTGATAGTTATCTTAAATCCAATTTGACTTTTTTTCCTTATTTTTTTTGGAATGGAGAAGCTATTCTTTTGGTATACTTATAGTTACATGTCAACATTGATTCTACCATGTTTTTTGCTCTGAAAGGAGCATTTTACTCATTTGCATTTTCAGTACTTTTGATAAATTGACATTACAAATATATGTGTGTGTATATATATATGTATATAGTATTTACTTTGCGAAATTTTTTCCGAGGTTAAAGTAATCATTAGCTAATTCTGTTGTACCACTGCCAATAACTGTTGTACCAAGCAGTTCCAGCATAACAGGTATGTCAAGTTTAATGTCCATGAGATATTACAACCCCTGCTTAATTACCAAGTGCTTCCTTTATTTCCATTTAACAGAATGCAGTGGTGTCCTTCAAGGAGTTATGTGGCCTCTCCTCAGTGGCCAATCTCATGCAGTGCATGTTGGCAGTGTCCCCTCGATTCCTGGGGCCTGATAACATACCCCTGGTCGTCCTAAATCTCAGCGAGCCATATCCCACGATGGAGTTACAGGGAATTGTGCCAGAGGTTCTGAAGAAAATCGTGACAACTTATGACATGGTAAGTCGTATTTGTCTTTTCATCTTGCCACGGGAGAGAACTGTATTAAGACAGTATGCCAGGTGTACTCAGGAGCATTTCCTGAAGTGTGCTGTCCAATTTTATACTTTGTATACCTATGTTAGAAAAATAATTGCCCTGACCTTGCTGTATTTAAAACAGTTTAGTTATTTGTTATTGTTGTAGAAGCAAGATTCAAAGACAATTCTAAGTAACATTAAACATTGATTAGTGTTCTCAAGAGCTATATTTGAATTGATTTCTAAAGGGTGCCCTATTTTCCATTCATATGTAGTTATCTCCTCTTGTAACCAACCAGCTACTGACTTATTTTGTTTTTGTTTCTCAAAATGGTAAAGGCAGAAAATTTAATCAAAAAAATTTTTTGAAATGCTACAAGGGGCAGATGCTGCTTCTGTCGTGTGACTTTACTGTGTGATGGTTTTCTTCGTCACAGCAGCTGCTCTCAAACACCTGCACTGGTAGTCAGCTTAACGTTAATGACTGTGTCCTCAGGAGACCTATAATATTACATTTTTGCACTTATGATTTATCTTGCATTTTCTTAATCTTGATCTTATTGTACTTTATGATGTATCATAATGCTAGGGGGAGAGTTTCATAGGTGAACAAAACTCTTTTAGGCTCCAGTTGGAGCTGTCAGAACTGACTGTGTGAACTTGTAGGAGTGACTCTTTAGCCTGGCCAGGTCAAGGATGGTGCAGAACACTCCCCTCCCAGATAGTCCAGGCTGTCATCCTCTATCACCAGGGTATATAGGTACATTGAACATCTCCTCCAATAGGAAAGCACAAGCTCAAGCCATATAACATTTGAATTTCTCTGATGGAGCTTGCTGTGCTCAAGGACAAAACAAGATTGCTCTTACACACTTGAACAGAAACATTTTTTGATTGTTTTATAAATTGGTCTGAAACCTGCAATTTGGAGGATTTATGCACCTTGAGGAAAATAAAAAACACATGAGACCAGCATTGCCCATACTAAGTTCTGAGGAACTTTACTTTTTTTAGATATTTGTATGTATCACCTGAGAGGAAGGTTCTATTTCACCTGAGAAATAATTGGGGGAAATGTTGGTCTGAAGAAAACTGATCAGATGTCATCACTGCAGAATTCTTGGGACCTTTTATTTGCTGGCACAGTGAGTGCATGCCAAAAGGGTGGTCAGTAGCATAGTCCCTGTTTTACACACTGACTTGACCAGTGGGCTCCTAATTCACAAACTCAAAACCTGAAGAATACATGTTAGGAAATGCTTCTTTCCTCTTTGAATAAGTCTGAAAGTATAAGCCAGAAGCTTGTAATGCTTTAAGCAACATATCAGTTCAGTATTTTTAAAAGCAAAGTTATTTTTTTATCTGTTTCCCAGGTTCCTGTGAAGTAGCCGCATCTTTCAGTGGATGCTTACTATTCTCTCCTGTTTCCATTTTAGAGTCTATGGTAACAAAAGAGATACAAAAGATTACACACTGGATACTGCAGACAAACTACAGAGAGTGGCACACTTCCTGCAGAAAGTAGGAAAGCCAGGGTCAAGTGTATCTGTTAAACCCTCAGTGACACATTACTGGGTGCCAGAGGGACCACAAAAACAAGCATGAATGTCCCTTGTCCTGGGGAGCCATCAGTCCACTAGAGCATCAGAGGTGGGGTGATCAACACAGGAAGTGTCTACCAGGATTCTCTTTGGGGAGAGAGGAGTGGAAATAAAATAGGAAAAGGGGGTAGAAGTAGAGAAGTTTGGCATGCTTTTCCACCCTGTGAGCTGGACTACTCAGTTCTTGACACTAAATTTCATGGGAAGAAGACAAAAGAGGTAGCTGATATTTAGAATATTTTAAAGCTTAACCCACATATAAAATCCCAGCACTACATCATTAATTAAAATCTGATTACCTTCTTAGATATTTTAATGATTTCCATGGCAGGGATGCAGCATTTCTTCATGGTAAGCTTTTAAACGGGGACATCCTGAGAGTTGGGTTGTAGTTTCCATGTAGGTGAAAACATAACAGACTGAGGCTAAGTGCTGTGTTCAGCAGAGTTTGATCCTGGTTCTCTTGGTTTCATTGAAGCTCCCCAAGGACACCAGAAACCTTTATAGCACCCACAACTGTATTTGGCACAATAATTGCTCAGTGGCCCTTCTTTGCCCCTTCCTCTTCCTGGACTGATAGGTGATAACATTTATTAGGTAACTCATATTTGCATCTGCCTTTATTTGTGGTATTATGGAAGTGATAAGATAGAAGGTATTAGCTTAGGAAAGTTTTAAATTATAAAATTGCTCTTTCTCTAATGTGCAGTTGAAATAGCTGTATTTATCGATTTATTCTCTTAATTCCATCTGGTAAACTCAAGTTATAAAATACTTAAAATTAAATTTAAATTGTTGCAGCAGTATTATAACTCCAACAGTACTTTACAGTGACCTTTTTTAGTCACTAAATGGTTTCTTGTCTTGTAATAATTAAAAGCTAGTTGTTAAAAGCTAGTCAAAAGAATAAACATTAATGGGAAATGTACTAACGTCTTGGACAATGTTACTTTAATTATCATTCTTATTTTTATAATGTTATGTTGAGCTTGACTCAAAACCTAACCTTAGAAGTAAGATCCTACTTCATTTTATAAACTTCCCATTATAATTTGTGGACTAAAATTGAGAAGCAAGAGTAGTTTGAGAAATCCTTGTCTCACACACCCGCCTCATTGCCCATCTACATTGCTGAGGTTCATCCTCCTGTGAGGATGGCACTGTGGTACTTCCTGAGATGTACATATATGTGTTATCTATCAAGACTGTGATTACTCTTACAGTCTTCAGTGTCTAGACACTAACCAGTAAAATAATACCTCAGAATCATGCTAATTTCTTATGAAAGGGAGAAGTATGATGATGGACTGAGTAGTATGTCAGCCAGCATGGGGGCCCTGTCCACATACCTGTGGTCCTAGCAGAATTGTTAATAGTTTTCTCTTTTGACTCCTAAAAGTATTGCTATTCAGAGACAGACAGACAGATATAGAGAGAAGATGGAGAGGAAAGAGAAAGGGGGGTGGTGACAAAGAGGAGGAGGAAAGAAAGATCTTTTTGTCTTTTTTTTTTTCTTTCTTTTTTTTTTTACCGGTACTGGGGATCGAACTCACGACTGCCTGCTTGCAAGGCAGGTACTTATGCCGCTGAGCTAAATCCCCAGCCCCAAGAAAGATCTTTTTAAAAAATCTGAAAGTATCCCTGTTTAGCTAGTTGATTGTACTGTCCACCCAAGGGTCCTGGATTGTCAAAATTGCTTCTGTGATTACCACCAACAGACAGACTTTCAAAATTACCCTGGTTGTGACTACACCCTAGTTGTGGTACCCTCATAGGTCTTGCAAAAGGTAAGATGAAAGGGACCTAGCTCAGGAAGGTACTGTAAGATCGTTAGGAAGGAGAGAGACTGAGTTATCTTCTTTTACTAGGCAGACTATAGGAATTTAAGAAAAAGAGACTGGACCAAGATGGAAAATGGGAATATCCAGGTGTTGTCAGCAGAGCTGGAGTCTGGACATTCTTGTCTGGGATAGAAGGCACCAGCACTTGTGCCTACAACCATGGTGCAGGCATCTGACTCTTCTTCCTGATGGTGAATGAGGGCCCTAGAGCTACCTCCCCCAAACCTAGAACACAGAAGTAACATGTGGTGACCCTAAGTAGAGAAAGCGCAATGCAAGTGAAAGGGGACTTCTTGCTAGTGAAGGCTTACTGGCCAGCCTGGACATTTACGTGAGGCTTCCTGGTCTCTCTGAGCCAAATGCCCATACGTTCTCCATTTCATTTCTGAGAGACTCTTCCTTTGAGGGCTTGTCTCATTCTTCTCCTAGTCATCCATCCCCATCAGCTTACTCTCTCTGACTCAGAAATGATCCTTGAGGTCCTTTGTTTTTTTATCTACCCAATATTTTTTGGCATATTGTGGCTGGCCACCATTTTTAATCCATGTCAGTGGCTCTTACCCTACTCCATATTTATGTATTGCCTTACATAATATATATTACTGTATCATACATTATAGTTATAGAGTCATGGCTTGTATTTTTTTACTTATCTGCTTTAGTTTAGAGGTAATGTTGTGTTCTTCAGAAGTAGCATATAGTAAAAACTTAATTGGCCTATTTCAAAAAACAAATAATAAAATAAATAACAGGATTTTGTATTACCATTGAGGAAGTCAACTATTTATAAGCTTGTACCATGTGCAAGGAAATTCTCACTTACTCAACAGCAGTTATTTACTGAGTATCTACTCTGTGCCAGTGACTATTCTGGGTATCATAAGGTAGTATAAAAACTAATAAAACCTTTTCTGTCTCTGAGTTTACAGTATAACTGAAGAGGCAATATATGTCCTTAGATAGCTAGTAAGATGATTAGTAATATTTAGGTAAGTAGTACACAGATATTTTAAAACATTCAGACAAATTGTTTGAATGTACAAGGGAGGAAATGGTCAGTGTCAGGGTCCAGGACTTGGAAGATAGGAAGAGGACATTGGCCACCGATCTGGCTTTTGGGAATGAATTGAATGCTAACTGGCAAAGGCAAGCTAAATGCACAAAGTGGGAAGCACAGGTTCTGAGGAATCCACTTCCATAGTAGGGAGTCCTTAAACAGTTTATGGCTCTGAGAGGATTGGAGTAAAAGAGAACCCGGAGACCATCTGTTCAGCACCTTTATATTACAGGTCAGAAGCTGGAAACTACTGGTCCTTCAAGTTAATCATAGAACTAGGATTAAAGCCCAAGTAGCTCTTTGTCCATTGTTTTTTTTTTTTGTTTTTTTTTTTTTTTTTTTTTTTGGTATAAGCCTGATCAGAAAGAATCAACTCTGGAATGTATGTAGATAAAAGATCAAATACTAATAAATTCTAAGTATCCTCAAAAATAATAATCTAGAGTTGTTAGTGTGGAACTTTTGAAGTCAGTTACCTTTT